ATGGGCTCCCCTCCACACGGGCCCCCCCTCCTCACGGGCTCCCTGTCCTCACAGGAACGCAGAGCTCGCAGTCGTCAGAGAGCCACGCAACCGCCTGTGTGACCTCCTGGGCGTGCCCAGGCCCCAGCTGGTGCCCAAGGTAACCCTTCACTTTCACAGCATGAGGTGACTGTGCTTCCCTGAGCTCCGAACGTTCTGGGGCCAGCGGCTGTGCTCAGCTTCCGACAGCGGCCCCTCCCCTCTTCTCACGTCAGGACCCCTGGGAGTACGGGACTGGTGGAGCTGCCTTCTCTGGCCGCTGCGCACGCCTTGGGCCCCCGTGGCACCAAGGCCACATGCTTGGGGTGTGTTTGGTGGGCCGGGGGCTCGGTGGGACTGGAATCAGCTTGATCCAGGCCCCTTATGACTGGCCCTGGGGTCTGTTTGTGCTCCAAGTGCCAGCAGTTCCCCCTTACCCCTCCTCACCTGCCTCCCTTGCGTGGGGCCAGGGCTGGGTGCAGAGACCCTCAGGAGCCCCCGTGCTCCTCGCAGCCCTCCACTCTTCTGCCAAAGTAACAAACGAGTGCAGTTCTCAGGGGCGCTGGGGCCCGGGGTTGCCGCCTGTCTCTCTAGTTCCGGGGCTGGCTCCTCCTTCCTCTCAGCCCCCTTTCATACGGCAGGAGGCCATGTCTGAGAGGGAGAAGAATCATGTCCAGATACGCAGGGGCCGTGGGGACGGGCTGAGCATCGGGACACAGCCTCCCCCATTTCTGTCTGTAAAGGCCAAACTGAGCAGCAGACCTTGGAATTAAATGTGCTTTTTACATTGTTATTGGGACAGATGTCAAACATGCGTGAGCACAGGTTAGGAGAGCGCGGTAAACCTCCCTTCTGCTCGCTCCTCAGAGACTGCATCCGCAGACAGGGTGCCCTCGGGCAGCGCGTTAGTCAAGAGCACCTGCCGGCCACACAGCTGGGGCTCCCGGGTGTGCGGGGAACGGCACAGACGCAGTTTCCAGCAGGAACCCAGTGTTGGCGTCAGTCCCCGCATGGGGTGCCGAGGGGCGAGGGTCCCTGGCTGGGAGCGGTGGGTGATGGAACTGACCGGCCTGACCCCATCTTGTCTCTTCTGCAGCCTGGTGCCTGCTGAAGCCAGTCCTGGAGCCTGCACTCACCCTGCCTGGTGGGGATATCTCGTTCCTGGGGGAGCCCGGTGCAGGGAGCCTGGCCCAGTGGTGCCTCCAGCTCTCCAGCTGCGGAAGGGTAGCGCTGGCCCTTGGAGGCCGTCACCAGGTGATGGCTTTTCCTCCTCTGCACCTGCACTGTAGTGACTTGGGGTGTCACTGTTTCTGCCTTTTCTTGAACACAAATGTGCTTCCTATAAAATCATGTACTAAGAAGTTCCTGCCTTTGTCTCTGAGCCTGATGCGTGTAGGGTGATGCAGAGGCTCACTGCCTGGGCGTCAGCCAGACAGGACGTGGGCTCTACTCCTCCTGCCTGGAGACCAGGCTCCCATCTCGCCTGTGTGGCCCCTGCTGTGGGGTCTGCTGGCCATAGGCGGTGCTCCAACCAGTCTCTGCTGTGGAGGTGCAGATGTTTACACTGAGCGAGATTAATGTTGATAAGTCAGGGGTCCAGATGCCAGAGGCCCGACAAGCCCTGTTGGGGTGCAGTCCTCCCACCTGCCCACACGTGGGCATGGGGCACATGGTGCAGGCGTCACTTAGACAGCGTGCAGACCAGTTGCTTCACAAATGTCTGCTGCAGGGGGAATCATCAGAATCCAGTGTGTGTACCTCTACAATAATGTGGGAAATACCCTTCTCAAAAAAATGGCACCGTCTTGCTAGAGCCAGTGCAGAGGTGGCCTTCGTCTCTGTGTCTGAGCTCGTGCTGGTCCGTCCCAAAGCTGGTGAGGGGAACATATGTGCAGATTTCACAGTGCTAGCTACCCACAGCTGTCTACCCAGGGCCTGTGCTGTGCTCACAGGGCTTGAGGTGCAGAGCCACCCCCAGCAGCACCGAGGAAGCCCCAGGTGTGGTCACTCAGAGGCCCAAGGGGAGGACTTGGGTGAAGAGCCCAGGGGTGCTGGGTACATGGTGTAGACAGGGTTAGCTCCCCGGCCTGCTGTCTCATGTGGGGGATGGGGCCTGGGCACAGGATGGGGGCAGGTCCAGAACTGGGAGATGCCGCCCACATCCTTGAGGCCATCATGACCACAAGGCCAGGACTGTGACCATCCATGCAGGATGTATGTGGTGACTTGGCCACACAGGAGTGTGAGAGTTAGCATACTACTGCCCCTGTACTCGACCTGCTAGCCAATAATCTTTATCCCAACATTTTATTCAAATCTTAAAATAGTCGTCCTTCTCAAACTAAGTGGGGAGTTGTTTTCTGTCCCCTTAATTGGCTGAGCATCCTAGGTGACCAGGCCCAGCCTTGGCCACGAGTCAACACGGTGGAAAAGGCTTGGCTTCTGTGGTCAGCACACACGAGACTCCGCGGTTGCACTTGCCAAGTGCAGAGTGGGTGCACCATCGCCGTGCCTGCAGCTCACGAGGCTCCTGCTAGCCTGGGATGCACTGAGGATAGAGGGAACAAGTGGCTTCTGAGGAAAACACATGAACTGTTCTTAGTGCAGTCAAAAGAAGATTAGGAGAAATGGCATTTTAAGGCATGGAGGCAGGTTGATTCCCCTCCCAGACCCATCAGTGACACTGTGTGGGAAAGCAGTTCTTTCAGTGTGGGTCTGACTTGGCCACTGCCTCTGTCCCGCTGGCTCCCATCCATCGCTGGGGCCCTTTGCTCACCAGACACCTGGGGGCCTGGAAAGCCCTCCTTCATTCAGCAGCTGTTTTTGGACCCCACCTGGGTCCAGGTGCTAGAATTTGGCAAGGAACCCCTCGCTCACATGATAGCTGGGGCAGACAACAGCAAATGAACAAACCCGCACCATCAGGCAGGCAACACTGAGTGCTATGAAAAGATAAAGCGGGCAGTGGAATGGGGTGCTGAGTGTTGGCTCCTACAAGAGATGTTCAGAAAACCTCTCTGAAGGGGCAGCATTTGGGCAGAAGTCCAAACAAACAAACATGCCCAATGGCAGAAAAGAGAATGCTTGTGGTCCCAGAAGTGGAGCAAGCTTTGTGAGTTTAGAGAGCAGGAAGAAGCCAGTATCCCTGGAACCGGGGAGCTAGTACGGGATATGTGTACCCAAAAACATGTTCTAGGCACAAACCAGAAACCCTCCATGTGAGACCAGAGACCTTGGAGATCCTGAGGGTTTTTGCTGAGCCCTGAAGTCCAGTCATGATGTTTTGATGACAGCAAGATGGAAGAGAGAATGTAAGGCCCAGGGTCAGATCTAATAGGAGACCCTACGTAAAGCTGGGACCCTACATAAATCTTTCTCAAAGGAACAGCAACTCGATCTCTGCTGAAGTGGCCTTCATTAGTACTACCTGTATAATCCCCAAAACTCCTAATGTGGAAAATTTGATTGAACTGGCCCCGATCAGTGGTATTCCCAGACAAGGGGCAGAAGATGCAAATACAAACCTCTCTGGAAGAATATAGGCTATTATAATATGAATATACTTTTGAAAAACGCTAGAAATTATCAAGAAGAGATTGGGAAAAAAAGCCCCTAGAGATGTAAGAAGTGAAATTAAAAGCTCAATGGATAGCTTAGACACAGCTGAAGAGAGAATTAGAAAACTGGAAGATCTGAAAAAATTATCCAGAGAACTGGAAAATACGAAAGCAACGTCAAGAGATACTGAAGAATGTCTAATCTTTGTGTAATTGGGGTCTTAGGATGAAATGAAATGATGCAAATACTCCATACTGACATGCAACAGTCCTCAGATACAGAAGCCTAACAGTCTCAAACATTTAGACTTGTCACAGTGAAACTGCAGAACTGTTAAGTGGGACAGAGTGATATAAAAACAACTACCAATTTCCCAGCAGCAGCACTGGAGTTGAGGAACAAGTAGACCAAGATCTTCATTATGCTGAGAGAAGGTAGCTGTTAACTTGCTTGAATTGTGCCCACAACATAACATTAAAAGAGAACAAAACTAAGTCATTCAGATAAACATCTGCTGTTCTAAGGCATGTCTGGTTCCTTAATCTTAGCTTAGTATCTGGGGTTGAGTCATTTTTTGTTAGAGCTGTCCTGTGTATTGCAAGGGTGTTCAGCAACAGATGGCAGTAGCCATCCCCTACCCAGCTGTGACAGAAAAAAATGGCTGCAGACATTGCCAATTATCTTCTGGGGGGGTGAATTCATCCCTGGCCAAGAAGCGCTGCTCTGGTGGATAAACTTTAGGCAGGAAGGAAAATGATCACAGTTGGATAGTTGGAGGAATGGTGACCAAGGAAAGCAATAAAATGTGACCATAAAAAAACATAGAAAGACAGCTTATTTGGGGACTTTTTTTTTAAGCACATAGAATTGCTTAAAATGGACAATAGCAGCATATGAATCAGCGGCAGAGTTGGTGGCTGAATTTAGAGCATCTTAAGTTCTTATGTTCTCCTGGAACAAAGTGCAGATAACTCAGTTACCAGCTAAGCGTGCATGTGGAAGTATTCCGAGTTGCACACAAAGAGTTAATATATGGGGAAGAAAACTTCTTTAGTAATAGGGGAGAAATGGAACAAGAATAAAAAATACGCTATCAAAATATGCAAGAATGGCAAGAGGAAAAGGCAGAACAAGCGTTTTTTTGAGACAGAGTCTCACTCCATCACCAGGCGCCAGGCTGGAGTGCAGTAGCACAACCTCGGCTCACTGCAACCTCCGCCTCCCGGGTTCAAGCAATTCTCCTGCCTCAGCCTCCCGAGTAGCTGGGACTACAGGCGCGCATCGCCACACCCAGCTGATTTTTTTGTATTTTTAGTAGAGATGGGGTTTCACCATGTTGGCCAGGATGGTCTCGATCTCTCAACCTTGTGATCTGCCCGCCTTGGCCTCCCAAAGTGCTGGGATTACAGGTGTGAGCCACTGCGCCCAGCCAGAATGAGCTTTTAAAAAAAAATACACTAGAAATATATTAGGACACAATAAATGTAAATGGATTAAAACCTCTATGTCAATGACAAAGTTTTACAGTTAAAGGAAGGCAAATAAGTGTTATTAGGAATAGATTACTATATGATGATTAAAGGTTCAGTTCAACAGGAAGACAGAACTTTCCTACACTTGTAACACGGTCTCAATAAAGCAGACATTCAGGAAATTGATCATCTACTACCATAGTGTATTTTATTGAGTTGATACAGTTCAATAAAGTGCAATAAGGCACTGTTGAAGAAGGAAAGCTTGACCTAATGGACAGTTATGGAACCCAAGTGTGTGTATGTACACACAAATTTTTAAAAGATGTTTTAAAAAATCTTTAAAATAAATAAAACTATAAAATATATAATGAAAGCTAATAAAATAATCACAACAGGTAGAATTCACCTAAAGTGGTGCTTAAGCAATTCTGAAGTCTTGAATTATACATTAGAGAAGAAAGGCTGGAAATTAATGAGCAGAACACACAAGCAGCTGGATTAGCTGTAAAGAAAGTAGAATAACTGTGGAGCAGGACGTGTGAAAAGGAAGCATAATAGAGACTCAACGAACCCAAATGGTGCTTCCGTGAAAAGACCTACCTGGGAGCAGCTGCCGTGGGTCTGTCAGCTGAAGTGAAGGAAGTCCTGGCCCTCCTGCAAGTGCAGCGACCTCAGGTTGTCCTCAAAGGCTCCTCCTGTGAGGTCCTGTTGGAAGCAGCAGATTCCGCTCAGTCCGGCCTCTCCTGGCTGCGGGAGGCCACTGTGGAGCCTCCTCCCGGGGCCAGGGTTTGGAGGTGGCCTGTGTCCACCTGTCGGGAGGTCTACTACGAACTCCTCCTCTTCTGCCAATAGTGCAGACAAGGGCCAGAGAGGGCAGCAGCTGGCACTGCTTGTACTGCAGGCCCTGTTGGTCACCACAGGGGAGGTCCCCTGCCTCCTGGCCTTGCCTCTCTGGAGAAGGTGGCTGACTCCCTGGGGGCCATCGGAGTAGACTGAGACTTAACAGGCAATGCCTCTGCTGTTCATCCAGGGCAGACCCGCCTTCCCTCGACACATACACACACACCCCCCTCTACGGGAGCCAGGAGTGGGAGGAGGCCCCTCAGACAGAAACTGCATCGCAGGACCATCAGCTGCTGGCCTCTGTCCTCCCCACCCCCTGCAGTGGAGTGAGGGCCGTGACGCCAGGTCCCTGGATGTTCCATCTTGTGCTGTGTGCCGGCCTTGGCCAGGTCACCTGCCCTCCTCTATGAGGCCACAGCAGGTGTGCAGAAATGCCTTTCAGATGTGCCTTGCACCCCAGCACCTCCTGAACAAGTTCCTGAAGCCAGAGCCCAGCACAGTGGTGGACACGAGTCTCTGGCCTCTGGCAGGATGCAGGAGGCACCATGTGTTCCTGTCACAGTCCTCTGTCCTTGGGCCCAGCAGGAGGATATGAGCCTGGCCGCGCTTCCTGCCCCTGCCACACGAGAATCCATTACAAGGCCTACCACTGCTGTCACTCAAACGAAATGTTTTCCTTCCTGCAAAACATTTCCACACACACTGCTGCCATCTATCCTTCCTCCCTTGTCTCTGCTCTGGAGTCTGCAAAGGAAACACAGCAGCACGACTCCTATCTCAGTCTCCCCTGAGGTGGCCTTCGTTAATGCCGCCTGTAAGATCCCTGAAACTCGTCAAGTGGAAAATGTGATTGAATTGGTTCTGATCGGTGGTATTCCCAGACAAGGGGCAGAAGACGTAAATACAAAACCTCTGTGGAAGGATGTAGGCTATAACGTGCCCCTCAGGGAATAAGGAGGCCCGAGGATGGGGTGTGGGGAGGGGACAGCCGACCCGCGGAGCCATCAAAACATCACATTTATCAAGTTCACAGCTTCATATGAGCACCCGAGATCATGACAACAGTGATATCACAGGTCACCATGACAGACACAGTGACAGTCTGACGTATTGTGAGAGCCACCGCAATGAGACGTGAAGTAGGCGTGCTGCTCAGGGCACTACCAATGGGCTCGTTCTAGCAGGGCGGCCGCCTGCCTGTAACTCCTGCCCCGGTGGGG